CCCCAAAACCCCAAAACCCCAAAACCCCAAAACCCCGACAACTTCTCTACATATAGATACAAATGTTAGACTTTTAGCAGATGAAATCATATCACTATTAACCATCTTCCCTGTAGTAGAAAAGAGATTTAGCCTTCAGACACTCTTTCGATTAAATGGCCTACATATCAATTCTTTGGTAGATATTTTGGCTTGAGATTATCAATAAAGAATTACCTCAAAATCATTATGAAGTCAAGAATTTTGTCGCTCTTTCCATATTTCTCAGCGATAAACTCTCCATAAATGTTCTGTCTCTTGGCCAAAACAGATGGTATATGTCTTGGCTCGAATTTAAGTGAAGCTTTTAAGAACTGAAAATCTATTTCTTTGAACCCCTCTTCAAGTGAGCTTAAGAATTTCTTCAAGGATTCATGATGTTCCTCTTTTAACACTTCTCCTTCCAGAATATTCTGAGGTTCCTCGATGCAATCCTTGTACATTCTAGAAGTCTTTCTTCTGGAATCTTCTTTTCTCCTCTAATTATGCTTCTATGTCTTCTTTAAATAAAATTTATTGTTTCTTTTCTCTGAGCTTCTATGTTAAGAACCTTCATCGGGACATTATATTCCCAGATAGCTCATGCTCAAGCTCAACTTGCTTTCTAATGGCTGTCTCGATTCAGTTAAAGCACAGCAAGAGAACATCATGGCTTCTATGAGATTTGCACTTCTCTAGGAAAAGATTCTGAACATTCAGGAATGGTTTGATAACTTACATAATTCTTAATACTTCAAATAATACAAAGTTTATAAACATAGGTTTATCATCTATAATAACTCACTCAAGGAGATAATCAAAATCAAATGATTTACAGATGAGCGAAGCACATCCTCTTGGAATTCTTTTCCAAGCAAAGAAAAAGCAATTAATTCCTAACAAGCCCTTCCAAATCCTTCCAGAACCATATCTTTCCTCCTTAAAAACTCATTAACCAATAACTCCTCCAACCCTGCTTATTTCTTCACTAAAAATCCCCCTCAATCCCTACTTAAAATTAAGGGGTTTTGGGGTTTTGGGGTTTTGGGGG